TTTTTTTTTTTTTTTTTTTTTTTTTTTTTTAACCACCCTCTGTTCCCACAGCACTTGGGAGCGCTGTTGGATGATTCCGTGGCAGATTGGAAAGAGGAGGTTGTGTTAGAAGTCAGGGCTGTGTGGCTGCTTCCATATTTCACAGCTTGGTAATCACTATTTAGAAAACACGAGCTTTGTTTATTAGCTTGAACAGTGGAATACAAGCCTGTGGGGATCTTTAAAGAGAAAAATCAGTGTGGATGGGGCAAAGAATTGAAAAACAAAAAACAATTCGAGGGTGATATTGCTTTCCTGAATCTTCAAGATGGACCTTCCTATGACTTCATGTAACATCCAGGGAGAGGGCAAGGTTTGACAATGCAGGAAAGGGACATTTCTTTCTGCAGGTAATTTTCTCAGGTCTCCTTCAGTTTGAAAAGCAGTTCATTTTGTGGGATTTTCCTCTGTAAAACTCTGCACTTAGCTTGCACAGAGGGAAGCTGGATGTCCTCTTATTTGCACTTCTAGAATGAGTGCAAATGTGTATTTGTTAAATACTGTTGAAGAGATGTAAAACGTCGCAGATGGTAGTGGTAAAAGTCTTACTATTTTCCTTTCCCTCCTAGGATTTTACTCCTTGCTTTCTGAGCTTCCTTTGGCCACTTTATGCCGCTTTCAGAGAATCTACCAGATGAAGCCCCATAAAGGGCTAACAGCGAATTGGAAACACAAAAGACTTTAAATTTACCTTCTCTATTTTCAGAGAGAACGACGCAGTATAGATGGAGAAGAAAGGCATGTTTGAAGACACTGGCTTCATTTAGACAATGTAACTTAGTCTGCAAAATGTGCATACATGTAGTTCTCTTAATTTTACCCTCCTTGGTGCTTTGCTGTGGACCAAGTGGTAGAATAAGAAAACTCAGGGGCAGAATAAGAAAATAGGCCATTTTACCTTGCAGTATGCAGAGAAAGGTACTCACCAGCACTGACAGTGATAGCCTCAATGAACTGTTCTCTCCAGCTGTTGGTACCCACTACCAGGGCCAGGTTTGTCTTCTTAATGAGTTTGTCCACCGTACTCTAGAAGGGAAGAAAGGAATAACATAATAATTGCTAGACTCACTAAGGCCTGGGGAAAATCTAAGACCTTGTTGATTTGGAAATCTCAGAGTTATGTAAAGTCTAGCAGATGTTAGGCTCAGAGCAAGAGTATTGACATCAAACACTATTTCAATTATGCAAACAAGCATGGTTTTTGTTGGAAACATTCTGAAATGGAAACTTCTTTGTAGCAATACACGCTTTCTTCACTGACTAATGGCCAATGAAGAATAGCCTCAGTGTTTAAAAGAGCAGCTGTTGCAAAGGCCCGCTCATTGCCCTTGAATGCCTTGTAAACTTGTTTCTCTACTGGCCTCATCTCGAGTGTTCTCTCTGCAACTGAATTAATGTAGCCCCTGTGAACAACCAGAAGTGACCACCAGATTTTGAATCCATTGTTTTGTTTGTCACGGAAATACAGCCAGGTAGCAGAGTCCTAAGGCTGCTTGCTGCATAATCATCCCTAGTTTTGTTGATTCATGGTGGCTATTAGAGATTTCTACTTTCATCTATTCCTGTTGCAAACAAGAAAAAAACAAGGGAAGATAAACAAAAGTCACTTCTTATGGTTTAAGGAATATTGCTAAATAACCTTATACAGAATGTCTCTGCTTTACTAGGACTGTACTCTATGTCTCTTATTATTCTTTGGAACTATTAAAGCACTTAGTTTTGTACAAATAGTTCTCTCTAGATTTCTGGATTCAGTTAATGTAATGAGGAAAATTAAGTAAGCAGATGCACTCAAAGCGCTACAACAAATCATGGCAACTGCAGGGAGAAGGGTCAGGTCCAGGACTGAGGCTGCTCTTCCAAGAGAAACTACTACTTTGACTAGTCTACTAAACACCTACACCTACTGTCAGAGCATCTTCGAATTTCCAGTAACTGCAAAGAGGCAGAAAACGTGCATTATTTGTCTTAGGTCAGAATCTGTAGGTTTCATGCAGTGTTTCTATACTGACTATGGTTTGAGTGAGAGCATGGTATCAGTTAACCGGGAGCGAGGAAACTATGATCTCAGGGGTTTGTACAAGAAGTTGAAGCCAGTTTACGATATCAAGCATGTTAGTTCAAGAAGATACATTGGAAGTGACTTGAAACACTGAAGGGATAATAGACACCAAAGGGCCCACCTCCATCTGGCTCACTCTGTATTTGCAGTATTATTCTTGGCTGGATTGTGTGTCCTTAGGGCAGTGACCTTTCAGCTTCCAGCCTTGTGTGTGGAACTGCTCCTGATAACAGCTGTAACAGTCACTGCTGTGGGGTACAATAACACGAACCACATGACAAGCATCTGTCTTTTCTCTCTCAACTCAGCCACATCTCAGCATGTACTCAGAGCATCCTGGCTGATGCCAATTCGAAGTGCTGTGTGGTGTGCAACAAGAAATGACCTTGGTTTTTCCAAAATGTAGTGGAAATCTGGGGAGGCACTCTCCCAAGGGGCATTTTATGCTGAAGCCACAAAATCTTATCACCTGGTGGATAAATAGTTGAACAGATAAACAGCCTGAACAGTAAGACATAGACTTCCTCAAGAAACATCTGCTAAAGAACATGTTTTTAAGTTAAACTGAGTTTAACATTTACATAGGTGGAAAGCTGATGGTAGAGCTTAAACTTTGTTTTATTTTAATCCTGGAGAGTAACAGTATAGCCAGGGCTTTACTTATTGCATGTATATTTGTCCTTGACTTATGGGAGGAAGGGGTATGAAAAAGATGAATTTGAAGTTCAGACACTGAACTTGGACACTGCTGTCTATATTTACCTGGAGAGTTCTTAAATCCTAGCAATCAGCTCTTCACTAAACTTCAAGAGACTGTGAAAATCTTACCCTCGGCAATTGTGTTGATAAAGTCACAGACTTAGTCACAGCATTGTAAGCAAGAACTCTGGGTCAAGCAGAGAGGATTTGTGAAGCATCACCCAGATTTGGGTTTCCAAGTGCAATTCCAGGCAGTTGGAACAATTTCTTGAGGTAGGTTTTGTAAAAGAAAATTTCTTACATGAAACATATAGTATCAAAACTGATAATTGAGGGCACTTCAAAAACATGATCCCAAGGTGCCCCTTAGGTTAACAGTAATGGAAATTCTCTATGGTAGCTTTTCTAGGAGGCTAAGTAGACCCCACAACTGGACTTATAAGGGAGAGTGGGGAGAATTTCTAGTTCTCAGAACATTGGAGTAATGGTTAGAGAGGGCTTTGGATCTGGAAAGCTTACCCTGTACAGTGCTTCCTAAATAAAGTCACTATGATTGCTTTTACCATCATGGATATATGGAAAGGAAAGATCGAGAGTTGCCCCATAAGAGAAAACACACCATTCCCGATGAGAACTCTGGGAGGACTGGGGGCAAGATTACTGCAGAAATACCAACCCACAGAATCTCTTGTAAATTTGTGTATGTCTCATTCATGTGTGCATTACAAGCTACATTCCAGGTCTCAAAACTGGGCTTTGGTGGGAAAGGTCTGTCTAGAAATCCTTCGTTTTTGTGCTTGCTCAGGGATCCCCTTTATTCTACGGGAATGTATGAAAGGAACCTAATAGATATATACTTGGCCCAGAGAAAGATTAATTGTATTTTTATCATTAAAAATTCTACTTTGATTGCAAGGAACATTTCCCACCTGTCTCCTATCAGGCACCTCACTTCAACTTCAACTGAATTTAAAAATGAATCAATGGGCCCAGCTAGAGGATAAGAAGCCACTATTGTGAATCATCTAGATAAAGTACTGGGACTCCTAAGTTGGTGGCCTGCTTCTCACTTCGGGAATCTTCATTTTAAGAGTTTACTTTTGAAATGTAAGTAGGCAAAAATACTGCTGTGCTCTGGCTTTGTATTTTGGAAGTCAAGAGAGGTTATGCATCTGTTCATATCCCACTGTGGAACCCAAGTATGGCTCTGTTAATCTCTTCTCAGATGTTAGGACTGTACGAGCGGAAGGGATGGGAGGTGGGGTGGAGACAAAGGGAGCAGCTCTAAGGACTGACAAGAAGTTTCAACTCCTAGTCTTAGGTGCCTCCCAAGCTAAGTGTATTTAACTTCTTGAAGAATAAGTTTCATCAGGTAGAAACTTTGGAATCCAGTTTTATCAGATCAACTATAAACTGTCTAGCTGCAAATACTGTACCTTCCGTATGGTGACTAAAATGGTCTAGACCTGAAGAGAGTGACTAAATTTAAATGAGAACTTATTGATGCTTTACAGAGAGACTGCTATCTTTCTTCGAAACAAAAGTATCCTGAGTTTTCAGCAGTGTGAAAGCTTTGCTTCTGAAAGATTTATTATCTTTTTCAAAAAGACCTTAGTTTCTTCCACATAACAATCTTTTTGAATCTACCTTTGTGTCCTTGTTGCCATTTCTTCAGACAAAGCTTTCCCTTTGGGGCATCATCTCTGACCCTGTGCAATGACGGTGCTGACTGCCAGGTCCCAGCTCTTACGCTGTCTGGTTTACAGCACTTCTCAGGTCCTTACAAACTCCATAATTCCTCGTTGGCTCTGAAAGCCTCTCAAAGAATATGCCAGTTATATCTGAAATTATAGCTCCCTCTCCTTTCGGGTGGATCTTAAAGCTGAGGCCCAAACTGTGAACATGCTGGCCCCAGGTGGCAGGACTCCCAGATGGGCTGTGTTCCCCGCATACCTTGAATTCGTAGGACTCCTCAATGATCACTTCCAGCTTGGTGTGCTCTCCCAGGATGGGGCGCCCCAGTTCTGCAATGCGTCTCTCCTCTTCCTCTTTGCTGGTTAGCGGCTGTCTGTCATCATATTCATCTGGGGAAGGGAAGGCAAGGCAGTGAAAGGTGTGCTCTTTTCCACTTGGCAATCTTTGATCTTACTACAAGAAAACCAAGGAGGAGGGAAGCTCTAGAGGCCTACCTACCAAGATCTTCAGACAAGATCCTGAGGCTGAAGGGGAGACCTGGATAGTGACTCAACAAACTGGGAAACGTAACACTGTGATGGCGGATGATGATAATGCTTATAGTCTAAAATGATGCTAAAAATACAGATGAGGAAAAGTAACGCGTGGGGTGTGACACTGAGAAAGACCTAGCCTGAAAGTTTGTGCTGCTGACTCTTTGTACACGTTCCTCCCTGACTGCACCAAAGGGAGACACAGTTAAAAGTCTGAGAGAGACCCTGAGGGATGAAAATGTTTGACCTCCTCTTCTTCACTTTCTAGAGGCAACAGAAATCGCTTCAAATCCAAGAGAAGATGGAGAGGAAATTACAATTTATCCTCTCACTTGCCAAGAGTACTAATCACAAATTATGCGGTGAAACATCCATTCCATGTTTTTGAGATGCCTGGGCTCCAGTGCTACCTCTCCCTGGTGCAGAGCCGAACTGTGTTAGGAAAGCCTTAACTATGTCAATAGTAAACAGGGAGGGTGAGGATGAGGCCTTTGGAGAATTAATTCTCACCATGTGATCATGACTATTTCCAGAGCCACCACGTTGTTTATACTCTACGAGGGGCTAGTGGGAGCTGAGGAAATGTTAATGGACCCAAGAGCCCATTCAGGAAGGAAAGATCACAGTTGGCTCTCTCTGCATGAAGATCACTAGGATAAAGCTCAGACTGAATAAGGCCACAAAGATGTGGAGGATAAATGATAGTTCTGAAGTCACCTTCACCCTTCAGGCCCAGGATTCTAGCACAGGACAAGCTACTTTTTATCAGTGGCAAATGGAATGAACCTCATCTTTAGCAAGTGATGATATGGAAAAATCCTAAAAAACTCAGCTCTGATACTTCCTGTAGGAGGAGTATGTTGTCCGAGGAGCCATCTAAAGGGGTGGGGCTCCCTGCCTTCTGCGTTTGAGACATCGGCTTCTTCAAGGGACCATACCTACCATACCTCCCATTCCCTCTCAAGACCCATGGCTTCCTCTTTGCCAAAGGACCCCACTGTGGTGGCTGCATATGTTGCTCTAGCACTTGGTGTCGCAAATAGTTCCTAGGTCATTTGCTTACCTAGAGGGGAGGCAGCAGATGTGCAACAGCTCCACAAGCATTTGTGTTATAGTGTGGAAACTAAGGAACGGTTAAAGGTGGAATGTAACATTGTGATTACTTTTTTAGTACATATTTAATAATTTCTTCTTAAAAGGATATTTTAAAATTGGCCTTCATGTTTCTGGAGATTACAGAAGATCAAAGAAATTAGATGAAGACTAAAAATAAGTCATTTCAGACTGGCCAGGAGCTGCTGAATGTTAACAAAGGCAAAAGAGAGAAGCAAGGAGATGAATTTTAACCCTTAAAGTGGTAATTTTTAGTAGTAGAACTGGGAAGGTAGGATTCAAGGAAAAGCAAAGGCTTCTAGTTGGGGTCTCTAGGATTTTTAAAATTATGTGTATCAGTCAAGGGCATCAGCTGAAATAGTTTATTCAAAGCTCAAAACAATTATATTTTGATTCCTATCAGTTTCTGATATTGAACCTATGATAATGCTATTTGTAGTATTTGTAACAGCAGGTAATAGTACTGTCTTTGTAATTTTGGCTGAACATGGATGTCTTGAAGATTTATATTCAGTAAGCATTATTTTCCCAGAAGAATAAATATTACAACTTGGTTATCTATTTGAATTTTACAGCAATTTAGGAAGACTATTTATTATGGTTGCTTTTCTGTAGTTTACTTATAAATGAGAGGTTGCCTTTAATGGGGTTGAGGGTAATTTAAGTAGAAAATAGAGATGTTTAGAGAGAAAAGTACTGCAGTAGGACTTTTTTGTGCAGCACTTCACAAAGTGCACTAGTTTTGGAATGTTGTACTAAATAAAGGTACGTGGTCATAAATAAAATAAAATAATTCAGTGAGTGAAAGGAACTTTGCTTTCCATTAATCCTTCAGTCCTTCTTATCAAGAACAGATGATTAGTTTGATGGTTCTAAGTTTATAATCTGTCTCTAACATTTGTGTTGTTACCATTCTAAGCTAAGGTAGTTCTCATGCATGGAACATTTGACAGTAACTAGCTAGATTTTCATAATATTCCTCCTCCATGAAATAATTTTATCTTACTCTACGCTTATGGAAAATTACATTAATTTTTAGTCACTAATAGTGTGATTGGTGTGATTGATATTCAGTCAAAGAAAACATTGTGAAGGAGGTATGAGAATGGCAAAAATGTAGGAAATATTGTATTTCAAATTTTGTTACATTTCATACAGATTTCATACTAATCTAAGGAAAACACAAAATTTCTATTACTTGGTACTTTCTTATTTCAAACCACACTTTTATTCTATGTATGTATCCACCCGGGAATGCTTTCATGTCTCCATCTACTTTCTGCACATATGAAATATCCTGCCTGAAAATATGGGATTTAGAATTACAATTCTAATCTTAGATGAATTCCTTAAAATTCATTGTGTGTATCCAACGTGAATACTCTCACATAATTTCCTGTTTTGTAATTTTAATTCCTTTTACATACTGCTATGCTTGCTGCACATTTAGATCCACCCTCAAAGCCTCATGTGCTTGTTGGGGAGGTTTTTGGGAGGTGACTGGATCAGGGGAGCACTACACACATTGGTTTATTAGTCCCACAGTCATTTTATAGATAAATGTGCTGTTAGGAGGTGAGGCCCGGTTGGAAGAAGTAGGTCCCCAACGGGCACAGCCTGGAAGGGTTTATCTCCCTCCCTCCTTGGCTTCTCCTTTAGATTTCTGGTTCCCAAATGCCATGAGGTGAGCCGCTGCCCTCAGACAGGCTCTTCCCCTTATGCCTTCCTGTCTTGGAGCCAGCCAACTATGGACTGAGATGTGAGCCAAAATGAACTTCTCCTTGAAGTTGCAGGTGTCAGGTATTTTATCCCAGTGAGGAGGAAAGGAACTAAGACACATACAAAAGCCAGTACATAACTTGCTGAGGAAACATTGCATGTCTCATTGCTTTGCAAATTGTTCCTTACTTTCCTTAGGGCCTACTATGATGTATAGAATGTAGTATTTGTTGTTTATTAGTGAAGTCTTTCATTTTTCCCTGTCATTAAAAAAAGATATTCGAACATGTCATTGCACTCCTATAATGTGATAGTATCAGGAATTTATGGTCTGTGGGGAAGGAAGGCATATAGATGAACATCTGCTAGCATAGTGTAGTAAGACCATGGACCGTGTGTAGTGAAAGAGCATGGTGATAGAAGCAAATCACTTTGCCTTGGCCTTGAGGCTGGCCAGGTGGATGTATGGGAAGAATGACTAAGCGGCAGTGGGTGAGAGATGCCTGCCAGGCAGACAGAAGCCAAAATACAAGGGCACAGTATCATGGAAGAGTCATGGCTATTTCACTTGGTAAGTATTGTGAACATTTCAGAGACAGTTATATTTACATGGAAATGAGAGATGACAACTAGATAACTCTATGTTAATACTGATAAATTACCATTTCTGCTCCAGATTTTTGACACTGGTTAAGAAGAGAGCAGCCTTTTCTTTATTAAGTGTCCTCTCTTTTGATACCTCTGAGTGAATAGGGAAATGGTTTAACAGCTTTTGGGGGGATCAACTGTTATATTTTTTCTTTTTACTTTGAGCACTGGATCAAAAGCAGATCATTTTACTATAGTGAAGGTCACCTCATTTCCTTCTGTATTGCAGAGTGATGACCGGCTATGGTTTTAGTTTTGTTTCTCTCCTTTCTCCCTTTCCTTCTATCTCTCTCTCTCTCTCTCTCTCTCTCTCTCTCTCTCTCTCTCTGTATGTACTTTGAAAACTCATTAGATTTTATTGAGAAAGTGGAAATAAATTATATAAAATTATATCACTAACCAACCAAAATAATTTAGAAATCAAGTACAAAATTAACAGCCACTGATAAAAAGTCAATATTGAAATGACACAAAAAAATCTTGTGATAAATCGCAAGTGGGGGAATCTCGTTTTTTTTGAGTGGATGACTTTTACAAACAACAAAGCTAGGAGGCACCTGGGATTGGAAAGGGCAGGATTATGAAAAAGCTGCTTCTACTGCTTTCTGGTTCAAGCTGCATTTTGAAGCAGCATCACCGTGAATTTAAAAGGGTGTGAGAGAGAATCCTGTTAGGGAACAATATAATCAGTGAGGGCTATCTCAGGGTAGAGATCGGTATTTGAGGAACTTCTGTTGATAGTCTTAAATGTCATGTTTTAATCATAACACACCATGTAAAATTCAAAAAAGGGGACAAGGTCAGCAATGGAAAATCTGGCTCAATTATTTTGATCCTGCAAGCAGAATTATGCCAGCAGATTTGAAGGCACAGGCCAGGTGCCAGGTTTAAGCACCTAGCTGGTCTTTTTGATTGGACCCCAGAGAGATTGGTTCTTTCATTTGCTGAGGAATATTCTGGAACAATTTTATAGTCATGGCTGGGTATTGTTATTATTGGTAGTTAGATGGAGTGTGGGCTGTGAGGATGAGGAGAGTCCCCCTGGGTCCAATAGAAATACTCCTATCATCATGTCCAGTGATGGGCAACAATGTCGAGTGGAGAGCAAACATCCTTGTCCTCACCCGGTGACTTAGGGACAGGATATGATATCCATGCTCTACACTCAGAGTAGATCTGCTATACTTAGGTCATCCTCCAATCACTCTGTCCATGTTCCTTTGCTTCTCCTATGGCAAACCCCGCACAGATATTATCTGCTCATCAGGAAAGGAAGACTGGGAAAAGATACAGGTTGGCTTCTAAAAGAATTTCATTATATTTGTGAAGAGAGACTCGTGTAAGAAGAAATATTTGCAAGGAATCCAGAACATCCCGAAACTTGAAAAGGAGAGGGCAATGGATCGACTTCTCTGTAGATCCATGCTGCCTCCTCCACAATCGCTTCAATCGTGTCCTGATGTGGTTGTTTTGTTGCTATTCCATGGGATCCTCAGCTGCCAGGGAAGCCACCACATTTCTTAGATAGGACAGGGGCTACAATACAGGAATCTGATGTCTAAAGACCCAAGGAATACTTGATAACCATGGTTTTCAAGGCCCATGATGAAATCAATACCTGCAATGGTGATTACAGTAGAGGGAATCGGATGTTCTCTAGCATGAACTTTCCTGAAGACAGGTTGGCCTAGCAAAAGGACAGTCAGAAAATCAGCAGAATGGACATCAAACCTTTTCAGAATTAGTTAGCTAAACATCACACTCAGACTGCAGGCGATGTTAGTTTGAGAATTGAGTTGTGTTCTTCACCCCGTGAATGTCATAAGAACGAAGTCTGGTGGTTACTGATGGAGGTTACTGCCTACAAATGGGGCAAGTGCTCTATAAGGCAAGTCACAGGCCCATGTGTAGGGTACAGTGAGATTCCTGCATATGTCCAAAATAGAATATCAGGTCTTTCAAATTACTGCTTCCAGAATCATCACCAAACAACAGAAAACACTTGGTGTAGTGACAGATGTCTCGGTTTTGAAATTTGTTAGTGCCAGCATTTCAGGCTGGGGTTCATTTCTGCAGTTTCCAAAATGGAAAATGGGGATAATGGTGCCCTCTCTTCACAGGTTTGTCTGAGTGAAGTAACTCTGCCATTTGTTCACCATCTTAATTTGGGTGAGGCATTTTTCCTCTTGGAGACTTAGTTCTCTCAGTTGTAAAATGAAGCAAACTTGAAGGGGTTTTGTTCCTCCTTCCTATAGATTGGAGTAATGAAAATGTTTTCAAGTTTCAAACATTTCGGTTTGACTTTCTTAAAATACACATTACTAAGTCTATAACATTCACAGGAGAAGTAAGATTAAAGAGGTGTACTGAATGCTACGCAATTCTAAGGCATATAGTTTATATCTTAGAAATTTTAGGAGAATCAAATATAGCTCTCTTCCTCTGAATATTGAACCAAAATACTGAATTTTATTAACATATCCCTATTTATATGCTCTATTTTCCCCCTTTGGGAGTCTCCCTCATTTTCCATTTGACTAGAATTTATAATGGTGGCATTTATAAGATATAGCTAGACTTTGGATTGAAAAGGAATTTATTCAAGATGCACATAGAAATAAAGAGGTTGGGAGGGAGGAAACAGAATAGAGCTGGACTTAGGACAGTCCTCACATTGACTGTTATTTGAAGTAGGGACTTTGGCAGTGACTCCTGGATGGATAATTTGAGATAGATTAATCTCTTTGAACTTCTTCCCATGGCTACAAGTGAGAACAATACAATCCATGATAAAAAGATAGTCTTTATAAACTCTAGTGCGCTATAACTTATGGGATATTATACCACTGGCAGATTAAGGGACAATGGCATCATAGATCCAAATAAGGGCCTTTCAACATGGTCAGATCTAGAACAACAGGTAAAGATTTGTTAATTCCCAGAGCACCTCCAAAACTTCATGTCCACCACTAATGAGATTTCTTTCTTTCTTTCTTTCTTCTTTTTCTTTTTCTTTTTTTTTTTTGGCACCGGGATTGAACTCAGGACCTTGCAACTTGAGAGACAGGCAGTGAAACAACTGAGTTAAATCCCTGGCCCTAAGAGATTTCTGAAATAATTGTATTAGGGTGTGAACCAAATAGTCTTTTCAATTTCCATATATGCTGTTTCAAATTTAGAGATTCACACCTAGCTATACAAGCCTGTGTAAAAGCTTCAGACAAAGTCCAAGAACTAGATTAATTCATCTCTTCTCTCCCTGTATCTCAAAGCCTCATATTGACTTCAAAGAAAAGCTCTTTAGGGCCTTAATAAGCTGATTTTCACTCAAAGTTTTAGAACTTTCCTCAAGAACAACAGTAGAGCATAAATCCTGGACATTGTGGTCTGACTTTGAAGAAATGAATGAAAAGTACACAGTTACTAGTTAAGTAGAAATGGATAGGGCAACACAGAAATTTCCAGAAAATTCTGGAACATTTCCTTGTTGTGTCTATATTAAATTCAAATTCTGAGGGATAATAATAATTGAAAAATTGTTATTACAGATCAAGCTTTCAGGAAAAACTTAGTGAACTGCCTGAACTGGTAGAAATATTTGGAGCAACTGATTCTGCTATTCTGGTTGCAAGATGTAGCCAAGGAAGGGAATGATCAATGCTATTGGATAGAAAAGATGGAACTAGAGGTGAGTAAATTTTTGAGAAAAGAAAACTAGGATCCAATTACCTGAGGTACTCAAAGGAAAATAGATCAAGAGACCTAGAGGGAAGAAGGCCTCAAAAATTAAATATTAACATATTCAGTAATAGAGAAAAGAGGACGACGATATTCAAGGATATCAGGGAATTTTATCCAAATATTTTTAGCTGATTTCTCATTATCAGGCTATATAAGACCAAAGATGCTGTTAAGTAATGCACTATTTTCACAGTGGTTGACCTTAGAAAATAATTACTCCTGTAAAGTGTTGAAGGCTGCCTTGTCAGAGTTCCATTTTCCTCACATCTCTCAAGGGTAGCTAATTAACCCTTAAATGACAGAATAAGAATATTTTCAAGAAGTTTTTAATGAGTTAAAATTATGGATGAGAAGAAGATAAAAATTTAAAAACAAGTGTAAATTCCTGTTCTTAGATTCATAAATACTTTCAGGGGTCTAGAATTGAAAAGATAGGAGATCTTCACATGAATCAGATTTAAGGAATCCTTTATGAGGAATTTTCCGATGAAAATTTTTATGCTTTCAAAGTGTATGTGTCTGAGAATCTGTGAATTATTTTGTCATTAAATGCTGTATCTGGAGGAAAGCAATGAAAAGCAATAATTTATGCAAAATTTCCCATATTTAGAAAGTTGCCCTTTAGATAGAATCACTTTTGAACTATGTTTTTGAGTTAACATAACCCCAACTCCAACCTTATGTTTTAATTATTAGAAATTTTCATAGCATTTCCTTCTAAATATTTTTTCAGCTCTTCAATTTAAAAATTTTGATATTCTCATAATTCACTGGAACAAGCCATGCAGGCTACAGGATATAGACCATTAGACACATCTTCAACCTGAAGTTTTAGACAGATCATAGCTATTATTTGGTCTCTATCTCTCATCCTAAATCTGCATAGATGATTCTGAAAAGGTGAGAAGATATTTAGGGCCCAAAGAGGATGCTCTTAGGAAGTATCTTTCATTTGTGCACAAGAAAACAGCTTTAGAGATGTGCTAAATTATGTGATCAGTAGGCTGATACCATTTGGAATTTAGAGTTTTAAGCTTTTTGGTTGGCCTTTGAGCTTTTAAGAAGCCCTTTGTATTGTGTCTGAAGTGGCAGAAATATTATTTGTTACCATGCTATTACTACCAAAATTAAGTTCCTAAAGACGTCTCAGATTAGGAAGGAAAAGGACTGCTGTGTCCTTTCTAACCTAGCATTTTCTGTTATTAGGATCCTAATCTGGGGCCATGGGACAGTCTTGGATTTCACCTGTTTTTATGAGGTCAAATATTGTACTTGGCAAATATCAGAGTATATTGTTCATTATCATTTTTGAGCATTTGTAAATTGGCCAGTATCAAATGTGAACAGTAATAAATTCTACATGTGAATTATTTTTAGAAATGAACACAATATACACATATTGTTAATTTGTAAGATATTAAATGTGCAGAATCAGCAAGAGCACACCATGTAACACAACTAAATGTTAATGCTGGTTACATTAGAAGTGCATTTGGGTTTGGTTTAATTTTGAGAGTACGTGGGGGGTGAAAGGAACTTTAAAAATATTGTCTTACCATACAGATATTTTCCTTTATTACAGCAAATAAAAATAAGAAATCATTTAAAATGTAATTCATTGAAAACAGACAATAAAAATTAAATTAGATAAGACTAGATTTCAAAAATTCATACCTGTTATTGTGAAGCCACCTAAAAAAGAAAAAAATAAAGCGAATGTTACAATTTAACTTATATTCACAATAATAAATATCAGTGAATTAGACTGTTTGATAAACCCCCATCCAAAGTAAAAAAAACTTGCGAAATTGTATTATAATTAAGGATTTGAAACATCCATCTATGATGGAATCATTAACTTTGTTAAGATTGTGAAATGCACTGCACAAACTTAATTCTTGTGCATACCTAGGAAAGCACTGATCTTTCATGCAGGTTATACTAAATTAAAAATGTCATATAAGTGATTTGGAATTAACTAAAAAAGCCAGTGGCTCTTAACAATAATCTTACTAGTACATCAATAGAGATAAAAATCAGAATGGAAAATAACCTAGCAAAGAATGGAAAGGAAGTGAGAGAAATGAAATGCTTACCAAGCTCATTCAATAACAGGGCTGTGAAGGAAACAGACAAAGACAAACACAGAATAAGAGACCAGATGAATAATGAAAGTAGGAGGAATATCAGCAGAAAGAAATCCAGGCAGATTTGATTTGAGTGGTAAAAAGCCACTGCATAAAAAATTGGTTCACCCCAAGAAAATGTATTGGGAATATTTCCAAGTAAATGATACCAACAGAAATTTCTGCAATGTTTGTGATTGACAGAAAAAATAACCCCGTCTATATAATTTCTTTATATTTACTAACAGATTTCTACTAGGTAGGTTCATACCTAGTATATATAGCTATAAAATATAGTAGAAATATTGTATAATCCTTGCCTTGATTTGAAAGGATCTTCTCATTAAATATTGCCTGAAAATTAGTGAATCTACCATTTGAATGTCTTAAATTACCCAGAATCTTTGCTATCACACATTTTAATCAATACAAACAAGTAAAAGATCCAAAGAAATTCCATTTTGGCTGCCCTTCCTGGAAGGAGACTTTGGACAGGAATAAAGCTCTCTCTCTTATTGTTGGTTTTAAAAATTCTTGAATTCTAAGAGGGGCAGGAATTGATGCTTACATGGGTGTCCTCATCAGGGACTTCTGAGCAATATTAGATATCTAGAATGCTTCCCAAAGACATACAGCTCCACAGAAACTGACAGGGTCCAGAGGGTGGAGTAAATACATATAATTGTCTGTTAGGTTATGTCATTTAAAATTAGACGGGGCTGAAGCACTTTGATTCAGAAAAACTGCCTGACTAAAGGTACTGAACAAATTACATCTGCCGTTGTAGAAGGGAAGTCACATTTACATCTTCAGCTTAGTTTTCTCTCTAATGGTAGTAACATTAGAGGGTAATTTCTAACATAGATTAGTAATTTTATTTATAGTGACAGAACACCACTTGGTGGGTGCAAAACTGGATAGTGCCATCAAGGAATCTTAATTTGCTTTTGCATGAGAGTGTATTTTACTAAAGTCACAATTGAAAGAATTGTATCCACAATACTCCACCTTGAGATATAAGACAGTTCTCTGGAGGAATAATTTTGGAACTAAGTGCTTTTTCCTGGACATTAATGAGGCATTTTTTTCTCCCATCTTTGTAAGACATTAGTGCAATTTTCTGAAATCTTTTTTCCATTTACTGCCTATTTAAAATGTTGCATTAAAATGGTCCCAAGTGCTCCTTTTTTCATCATTCCAAAAACTCCTGATGCCATTTAGAATTTAAGTCAGGGATGTACACTTTTTAAAAATTCCTGATGGAACGTAAAGTCAGTGAGTTCTCATAAATATGAGATTAAACTTCCTCAAATTTTGGATCTACCTAGGCATTAGTTCTATATATTTTATTATTATTTTCTTATATGAAAAAGAATAAGTTTCTTCAATATGGTCTACTTAATTATTGCCTATACTACTCCACTAATTGTTCATATATAATTAATATCAGATATTACTATGCAGTATGATAGTTTTACATATATTAAATCAACAGGATTTCTTTTAAAGTGGGCATTTTGAGAGGATAACTACAGGAAGTCCTAGAAACAATCCTGAATACAAGATTATTTGTAAACCTGACATAAAATTCCTTTTCTCTTTGTCAAATGTAGGCCATATGAAATAGGAAATTAGATAGGAAAGAAAATTAACTCCTTTTCAAGCATTTTCTAAATATAATTGTGAATCAGCAAAGTCCACTTATAAGGATAGTGTACATATTTTTAATTTTACTACATATAGTAAGATTTATTAATTCTGTAAAGCTAAAAGTATTTTGGAGAATAAGGCTGAAAGGGCCTTCAGCAAAGGTTAAATTCCTGCTTAAGAAACATGTCCTTCTAACTAAAATAATTGATCTGAGTACAGTTTCATATATGTGGCACCTTTTAATTGTCATATTTGATATGAAAAACATGCCAAAGTAAGTATTAGAATATTGATAAATCTACTCTTTAAGGATCTTTGTTTTCATTAATTTCTCTGAAATGCTGAATTCTCTAAAGAAGCCTAATTATTGTTTTTTTTTCCTGAAATTTCTTCTTAGTTGGCATTAGATGTGTGGTATTACTAATAGGTATCAAGTGGTTTTTCACGACAAAATACTAAATAGAGCTCTTCACTAGCACTTGGAGTGATTTAATAGCTGCAGCATTTTAGAACGAACCACAAGCTGTTCCGTTGTTTTTTATACCATCATTTGTTAATTACAGAAATCTCTCCTAATATTTATTAAATCTTGTTGCAATCAAGGTTAGTCAGCACTTTTTGAGGAAAATGTGCATTGCTTGGTGCACTTGTGGCTCAGGGAAGGGCAATGAACCTGCTAGAGTTTCAAAGGCAATGGTGTTTAGTACTTGGAAGTGGAGGAAGAGGAGAGAGTGAAGTGTGAGAGTAAGGAGACACGGAGAGAGAAGAGCACAATTTCTCGCTGGTATGTCTTTGTATACTCTCACACCTTTCATTCCTCTTCTTATCCATTTTGGTTCCTCAAGCACAAGGGAGAAACTGCACTCTTTCTCATATTCCTCACGGTCAAATATTCTAATGGTAATGATCTTCCTGTGGGAACACAAGACAAAGGCAAAACAAATGGTTGGAGTCACACGCTCATGCTGTAGATGTCTACCAAGCCGGATGTTACTGTGATGTTACAGAGGGAGAACCGGCACCACATGGTCCTCCTGAAGTATGTAAAAGGGCATCGTGGGTGCTCTCAGCTGGCCTCCATCAAGTGTTATGCGCTAATGCATCCGGGGCACAAATGCTTCCCGTTCTGGTTAGCAGACAGAAAGTATGCCAAATTCAGAAGGAAAATCAGGAAGCTGGCTTCATTCACACACAGCATGACGTGTGTAGCAACTTTCTGAGAAGTGGGGGCTTCCCTGACCGCACCGGAAGTTAATCTTTCAGACTGGAATGTGCAGAGTGTCCCTAATTGGTTGATGCAGCTATAGGCCCAGCCCACTGCAGCCCAGCGTGAGAGCTATGCCCTGTTACATAGGCGGAGGGATGTGTGCGTAGTGTCACGTTCTGAAGAGTGCAGGCATCCAGGGCAGCAGAGGCCAGCAGAAGGTGTTGGGCTCAGCCCTGGAGCAGCTACCCCACCTTTCTTCTCACTCATCTCCACCAGGCGGGGCTCTCCAATCTCAAGGAAGAAGGTCTTGTTTTTCTCATACTCCTCATCATCAATTACCTTGACTGATATTGTTTTGCTGAAACAGAGAAAAATAGAAATTGACGAACAAGGGGAAGAGGAAAGAGAAGGGACACAGGAACACAGAAGAAAGCAAGGTTGACACATCCCAGACAAACAGCGGCTGAGAAAGTCTGTACTCTGTGGTACTTCTTCAAGATTGGATATCAGATAGGCCTAAAAGATTGGAGGGGTTGCACAAGCTTCCTTGTTAGGGCCAGAGAATTAATTTGGACAAAATAGAGTATTCAGTTCTAATAGGTTTATCATCATCACGAGAAGGAAAAGCAGTAAAAACACAGATCACAGTCATAAGGAAAGAAAAGATTATATTTTTTTAGTACGTGTCTTGATCATTGAACTAAGTTCAATCTACTCCTTTAAAACAAATCCATAAATCACAGTGAAATGTTAACAGAGGTTATTTCTGAGGACAGACTCATGGGTCATTCTTTCTTTCACTGTGCTTTATTACATTTCCAAACACAATATTTTTATCATAAAATTTTATTAAAATAATAAATGCATAAATACACCATAAAAGAAAATATAAAATCTCTTATCTTACTCCACCCAGTGTCCTAGAATCTAACTCTTCGGGTTAGTCAGGTTTTCCACCTAGACCAAAACGGAAAGTTGTTCACGTTTTATTTGCCTTTCTACAGATGGAAGGAGGGGACTTGAAAGCGGGGTCACAATGGCTTGTGTGGGGAGGGAAGGGACTCATGATATTGTTGCTCTTTTCAGCCCTCCCGAAGTTGAGGTTCAGTTCTCAGTAAATATGCCATTTGCACTATCGCCAACTCCAGTCACACGCCACGGTGTTTTTCATGAAGAATCCTTTATATAACCCAGCCTTCAGCAGTTCTTGCCCTGTGGTTCTATGCCTGTGGGTGGCTGGAATGTGTACATAGGACACATTCGAATGTCATGCAAATCCTAACTTCCAGTAAGTGCCCTAACATGTCCTTTTAATTAAATAATTACACACTTCATGTATCGTAATTTACTCAGGGTCCCCGAAATGCAGATTTTTCTTTGGCAGGGGGACTTTTGATAACTTTGACCAAAACATCTATGATTAAAGTGATTGAAAAAATAAGTTTGTATAGACTCAAATGTTTAATAGCGTGAACATAAACATTCTTTAATTTTAGTGGAGTTTTCTATTCTGGAAGGAAATTCATTCATGGTCTTGTTTTTATTTTATGGATCAAAGTCATCAAACTTCCTTTAGGCCTAGTCATGCTAAAGAGCATTTTTTTTTTCCTGTTATGAAGGAAGCATGATTAGAACTGCTTTTAGTTCTCTGGATTTCCCAATTCCTAAAGTCAAGTGCTTAAGCCTCTCTTGACTTAGTAATATAGAAATGATATCGAGTGATTGGTCTGGTCCTTGGGAGGCTCACAAAGCCGTCTCTTTTTCCCAGCTAAGGACATATAATGCTAACAATCCGATTCCTTACTGTGAAGGAACTGGAGCTCATGAAAGTGTCTTTTCTTTGTACTTCAGCTCTATGCTTGAAGACTAACATTAGAAGAACAACTGAATGACTAAACAGTAGAATGCAAAAGTTATTTATTTTTGAGTTTATATTTACAAAACTACCGAGTATGACAAAGTCCAATTACATGTAGAGAGTGAACAATTCGTGCCTGATGCTTAGAATTATTTTCTGAAATTTACCTATTCATTTTGAACATATATATATATAAAAAATCGGCCTGATCTGACTAAACTGGAATATTTAATTGTTCCCCCACATGTGGAAGAAGAAAACAATAGGGGAGGCACATGAGCATAGATGTGTATGAGGTTGATGAGTCCACTGCTTCAGAACTTAATTTGATGTTGTGAGTTAAAGTTACCCTACAAAAACCTACCAAACATCTCTACATTATCAAAAACTGATGCTTTTCAGATATCGATTTCTGTTCCATAGACTTGTGACCTTAAACTTTAGTTACAGAACATCTCTACTAAAACAGCCAGCCTCAGCAGACCAAGGGAGAGAAATGTGACAGGCTCTGGAAGATCCACACTACTGTCGTTGGCCCAGTATCCACTATCAAGACACTTCATGGTAGGGCACATCGAACTGGAACACACTCACTGGGAGAGAATCCTGTTGCAACCTTCCTTCTTGTATTACTTAAAAAATTTGGCTTCATTTCTCCACCTTATATTCCCCCCACAGTTCACACCTCAGGTGACATTTTATTGGACTACAGAAATATAGGAAGCACAGGGTGGCTGGTTGGTTGGTTGGAGTAACCTTATTAGTGGGATGAGTTTCTGCACTGGAAAAAGACCAACTTTATGCCTGTGGGTCAACATGATAACTTATTCACAAATAAATGGAAACAGCCAAAAGATGTATTGATTCTTGCCTTTTGAGAATATCATAGAATTTAGTCTTAAATTGTTGTGTTAGCTTTATTTTCTACATTCTGAATAGCTGATGTATGTAAGGAATAGAGTTATGCAGCCCCATACAATTTGTTTGTATAATAAACTAAGTGTATTTTTATCATTACAGTATCCTTATTCACTAGGATCCACCCCTTAGAAAATATTTTAGTATTGGGAAACTATGGTCATGAAAATGAAAGATGAAGGAAAAAAGTACATTTGTAGGTGCCTCGTAAAGACATCTAAAATAGATGACATTTGCATAATAGCATATCATTTCAAAATCATTAATAATTGAATGAGTAATGCCTTTGACAGGAATAGCCATTAAATTATATATTGATTTAGCTTGTGTTGCACAGAAAAGCTATTAATAGCAAATGTGATTATTAAAGGACATCCCAGTCACTGCGAAGTGCCATGATGAAGTCAATCCTTATGAATTAACCTTCCAAATGAAGAGAGGCAAAACTAGAGGCACTGTAATGCTCAGCTTTGTCTCAACACAACTGTGTATTTCTCTCCAAGCAAAGGTGAAATTGACCACTAGCAATCTGAAAGGAGCATATCTTTGACACATCTTCCTTGCATTTTATGGTGCCCAATGGATGAAAATCCTGCTGCCATTTCTGTCAAAGGGGCCGTTACATGAGATAGTGTTGATCTGGTGAAGACTCCAGGCTCACGGGCTGGTTGTCTTGGCTCCTCACAAGTCCACATTAGAATGGAATCTGGAGGGACCCTGAAAGTCCTCCATTTCTGCTCCCATTGCTACACCAAGAAGATGTCAAAAGGACTCCATCTCCCTGATCTATGTTGGCTCTTCCATTCTATTTTACCCATGGGAGGTATTCAGATAGGTGTAATTATTTTAAATTCACACGTTAGAACAACAACAGAAGACTGGAACAGCTAGATGCATGTAGCCCTTCAAATATAACTGCTGTATTATTATTGCACTGGTAAGAAAAAAAAAAAAACAGGAAACTGGTATGATGCAATTTTCAGCTACCATAATTATTATAAAGGAGGTAAAGAAACTGCACTTGATTTTGTATGTAACTACTTAAAGTGAACATTGTACTATAAAATTAGATTTATAATATAGGAGCTATAAATCTTATAACATTAAAATATTTTTCAGTACAGCCAAAATTTGTATGTAAGTTCATTTTGGTTCCATTTAAAAGGAAAAAAAAAAAGAAATTTTTTAGGAAAGATCATTCTATTTAGTAGAAAAATATAGGTTATTCTTTTTGTTTTGTTTTTGTTTCTTAAGATAGGGTCTCGCTTTGTAGTTCAGGCTGGGCTGAACTCATTATGTAGCCCAGGAAGGCCTTAACGTCTCAGCAATTCTCCTGCCTCTGCCTCCCAAGTGCTGGGATTACAGGCGTGCCCCACCACACCTGGCCCAATTATTCTTGTTGATCTTTGCTGTACCCTTCATGTCATGATGCTAAATTTAAATGCATACCTCACTTCTCCATCTCTCTCTAATCTGATAGGACTCAAAGAACTCAAACCCTAACACAGAGATGCCATATCTGGTGGTGACCAAACAGTAAAGAAGGAAAGACACAGCTTTATTAGTGGGGTCTGAAAATATGTTCTCTCCAAAATTTGTGTCAGTTTCTTATCATTAAGCTGAAGTGGGGTGCCATGCTCTTTTTTTTTTCAGTTTAAAACTCCATTTTTTTCTTCTGTGGCTTCTTTTCCCTAAGATTTCTATTAATATTGAAAGAAGATGAGAAAAAGAAGAGTGGGAGAATCAGTGAGAAAACTAAATTTTCTAAATCCACACATGAAAGATTTTAGTAATGATTCACGTAGATGCTGTGATGGCTTTTTTTTTGTTTGTTTTGTTTTGGTTTTTGAAAGATTTACTTTCTCTTTAGTCATACCCAGAGGTCAATGAAGTGGTGTGCACTTTGCATTTCTCAAATCATGGAGGATCTTCTTAACAACCCCGGACATGATTCTTACTCACTACCTATAGTTCACAGAGGAAAAAAAAAGTGACTCAGTATCTTCCCAGGTCACAAGGCAAGTTCCCACAATGGGCTCCAAGGACAAGGGCTTTGGCATGTGTGGCCCATAGTTGGCTGCTACCTAGCTCCCTTATGCATTCAATTCTGCAGTATATTTATTATTTTTATGACCACTTTGAAGGACCTGAATTATTATCTTAATGTAATATACTGATTTACTATTTTATCTGTACATTAAAAAAGACTGAATAATGATAGGATTTCAATTTTATTTTTGAAAGGACTATGGCATATGTTATATTCCAGGGCGGTTGCCTTCAAAAGTTAAATCCCCAGGAGGTGAAGGTTTCATTGAAAAGTCTCATGCATGTGTAGAGAAGTTCACTGACTCTGAGAACTCATAGTAGCAGTAGCTAACGAGCAGGCTCAGACTCATGCTGGGCAGCTGGACAGAAATACAGAATCTCAGGCCCTGGTCCTGAGTCACAGAATCAGAATCTGCATTCTTACAAAATCCTCAGATAAACTCCATGCACATTGAAGTCTGAGATGCACTGGTAACAAGTAGGTTCTTATATCAAGTTGGATAATAAAGTGAAAGTCTAGTGGTAGTTGTGTC